TGACAAAGGTGCACGAAATGAATCCCCTTTTGTGGACACCATGTTTTTTAAGTAACAATGGCTATTACGTCTACTGTCTAATTGAACCGCGATCAATACATGTTTTTTTCGCGTCTACATCGACTGCAATCAGTACATACTTACGTATCAATGTACTGTTTCCAAAATCTGATCATAAGTTTTTTGTGGAGATTGAGTTAGAAATATTTGGACATGGCAGGTGGTATGTCACTCCAGCTCATATACATATTCTAATTGTTGATTATATATTGTTCTCCCCAGCCCAGTGCATGGTAGGGGTGTTGTGATATGTTCATGTTGATTGCCCTTCAATTCTCTCCAGGAACGAATTCTGGTACTCCTTCCGATCTATATTAGTTGCCACGGATTTAGGATAATTTCAGCAAAAAATTATACTAATTAAAGTTGCGACAATTAATATGGATCAAAGGAGGTATTTTTATATGCATGCATAATGTGAATGTTATTTTTTAACCCATCTCTCAACCAATAGATAACCATCTAGGTTCCGAGAATTTCCAAACGCGCCTTCTGAACCGTGACGGAGGGAGTACTACTAGACGTTAGACTTAATTAAATTCCCGTCATGGCAGGCTTATAACTAATTTCAAGGGAGATTAAATCACTACAAAAAAGTTATATTTTTGTCCTTTTAGAATTTACCACTTTGAACTTGAAAACACAACTCTGGCCACTATTTTGTATTCGACTATAATTGTTAAAATCCAACTAAGCCGTGTTTCACGAAAGTGTAGTGATTTAAGTCCAATTTACGCATATTAAGTAGTACAAGATACTGACAGCCAAAGTTCTTAAATTTTGAATTAGTCAAGTTTAGACCTCGCAAAAAAAGGAATTAGTCAAGTTTAGGAGCTGCAATGTGTGTACAACGGTGTTTGTCAAATTTCTAGCTAGTAGGATCAATGGTCGCCGTGTAATTACTTCTCAGCTGTCGAGCGAGGGCACCATGCATGCAGATCAATCAGCACATGCGCAAGTAGTAGCCACTAGCCACTAGCCAGGAAGAATCGTGTGGAAAATCAAAAGGCGGGGATCATCGGGATTCGGGAACATACTTGCAGATGGCGGGGTTGGTCGGCCAGTACTTATCCGGGCTCTTGGCGGCCTCCGGCGCGAGGTGGAGGAAGTAGTAGTCCCCCCAGTCGAGGGGCCCGCCCTTCTGGACGCCGACGCGGCTGCCGTACCCCTCGTACGTCCGCGGCTGGTTCGCGTACTGCTGCTTGGCCGAGATGGGCAGCCGGAAGAAGCCGCGCCAGGCCTCCCGCACCGCGCGCATCAGCTCCGGCGCCACCCCGTGGTTCACCACCTGGAAGAACCCCCAGTCCCGGCACGCCGCCGCCACGGCCTCGGTGATCAGGCCGTCGATGCGGCCCTCGCCGGCCGCGAGCAGCTCGCCGAGGTCGATGACCGGAATGCTGTCGTCGGAGGGCTCGCGGAGGACGTTGTCGCCGCCGGCGGCCAGGTGCTGCTGCGCCGGGCGGTCGCGCGGCGGCTTGACGTAGCAGTCCGGGATGGCGGCCAGGCCGCTCTCCGCGACCGCCTGCACGCGCACAATCGGCTCCGGCCACTCCTGCATGCAGTCCGCCATCGCTGCGTGACACCTGCCTATGGAACAGTGAAAGAGTGAGTAAAAGTGGGCACAGAAAAAGGCAACCCGACGGCTATGCAGTATGCACACGCACACCGGCTGCCGGCCCGAGCCGCGTCTCGGCACGCAAAGCAGACGAACACGACGGGAACATAGCTAGCTAGCCAATTAAACGAGGAGAGGAGAGGAGACGGATGGAAGAATTAAACGGCCGAGGACAAAGCACGAGCACTGCTCATGGGAATGCTACGGATGGCCGACGACGTCTCGTGGCTGGCCGATCTCGATCGTGCATGGCAGCGATGGCGAGAGGAAGGCATGGGCAGCCACTAGCTAGCTTGATGGTTCATGGCGCTACAGCCATTACACACGGTGATCGACTAGCAGGAGGACACGAGCTACCCCACACGGGATCGAGAAGCTAGGAAAGGTACGTACGATCGACGAGCTGGACCGGAGACAGTTAAGCCGCGATCGAGTGTTGTGCTCGAGCTTGGACGAACTGCTGGGGCTGTGGAATGTGCGCCTCGGCTGCTTAACTCTTCGCTGAGCCGGTGCTCGACGGGGGTATATATAGGACAGGGGAGAGAGAGATAGAGAGATTAAAGCCCGGCCGGATCAGCCGCAAGCTCTTGCGGTTTGTTTAATTTGTCTTTTCCATGGAGGAACGGCGCCTCAGCCGATCTGATGTGGGTGACCGGCCGGCCGCAGCGCGCACAGCTGGGTCACAGCGCGAGCGAGGCAGGGGCCCAGACCCAGACCGGAGCGGCGGGAGGGAGAAACGTGGTTTTTGTGGGGGAATTGGGGATTCGTTCGCCGTCGAGCGAGATGGGGGCCGCCAAGCTCGATGGCGACCGGCCGGCCGGGAGAGGAACAACGCAGCTGGCGATACCGCGCTGCAAGCTAGCCTCCCGCTCCATCGGATCAAACTTGATTGAATGTTGTTCAACTCACGGCAGCAGTCGCACGAACGGGCCAAACAATTTGTGCCGCCACGTTTTGAGATTTGACATGACGAAGTCAAAGCGTACAGTGACTACTTAGTAGCACCCCATTAACAAAAATAGATGAAATGATATCGTTGAATTTTTTGAGATTGGTCGTCAGATCAAAATCAAAATAGTACCACTAATTTTATTATTATTATTATTATTATTATTATTACTTGAACGGGGCATAATCCATTTTCGTTAACTGGATAACGGAAATACAACGCTGATCCAAGGGATGTTCAGGAGACAGGCAAGGGGAAAACGAGTTCAACGCATCGTCGGGAAACCCACTGCGGGTGCTTGCAATCGAAACACCGACTGCGAGACGAAAATTCGACGACTATCACAAAAAACTTTTACCTAACAGAAGCCTAAGAGCATCTCCAACAGGCGCCCAAAAAAAGCTCCGCGCACTAAAAGTTTAGTTTTTTGGGCGCCGGGCAGTTTCAGCAGAAGCTGTAGCGCTAAAAGTTTTTGGGCGCGTGCTGAAAAACGCTATCGCGCGCAGCATATGTTGGGCGTTGGATTGCGCGCGCTTCACAATTTGCATTGTCTGCTTTTTGGGCGCGCGTTTTTTGGCGCCTGCCAAAGCAAAGTTGATACCGGCGCATTAAAAATGCTACAGAGGCGCGCTATAACGTTTATTGGTCGTGGAATTTTTATGGGGCTGTTGAAGATGCTCTAAAGCTCACCTAGGAGCAGATAGTTCAGTGCCCATGCAGGAGCAGACAGTAAAAGGGAGTCGAACAAAACAAACGGATGGCTGAGAAGAGCGTGCTTTGCTGACAACATCCAGTAACTCCAAAGCAAATCCGCTCGTCGCAAAACTCCTCATGCACAGCCGCACAGATCCTCATTGTGCTAGTGGTGTTCTCTCTAAGCATCTCGCGCCACACTCCAGGGCACCTTGGTCTTCCTTCTTTAGTAAACCTGCCCATTATATTGACATAGGAGGAAAACACAATTTCAAATGATGTTCTAGGGTGCTTGAATTCACATGTCGCTCGGTTACGGCAATTCCAAATGCCCAACAAACCGCAACCAATCCAATCGTACAGAGCTTCTCACCATCACGTAAGAACATGTAACACCAAGAGAAGAACTGCCACAAGTTATTAGGACAAAGCTCAGTTTCAAATACCGAACCCATTGTATGCCAACGAACTCTCGCAAATTGACAAAGAAAAAACAAGTGTTGAGAAGTTTCCTCTCATTACAAAAAGAACATTTTGGGTTGTCAGCTCAATTCGTCCTTTTCATAACATCCCAACATCTTGAAAAAGTTGCCAAAGGAAGATCTAAATGTTTAAAGGGAATTTTGCTCTCCAAATCCATTTAAAGTCACAGCCAACAATATTTCTTTCAAGATATTCGTAAAACAAATTTAGTAGTAAAAGTCTTCAGAGCCAAGGGGCCAAGCCAATTGATCAGCCCGGGTGTTAAGATTTAAACCAGCAACATTAGAGAATACTTCATCCCATTGGTTACTCAAGGGGGGTAGAGACGCCTTCTAAAAAGGGCATTCGGTGGCATGTTGACTCCTAGTGAGTGTTTGCAAAGTAGTGTTATCAACTATGTTAGCAACATTATGTTTTTTTTGGCGACAAAGTCTAAGGTCATATATTAAGTATCACATGCGGTACAAAACACACCCTTACAGAAAAATAAAAAACCTTTCAAAATCTTGTGGGTGCTGAAGTCTTCTTCCTCCTACATCCATCGGCATGCACCATGAGCATAAGCATCTGGGCCTCCATCTCGACAAAGCAAACTTTTAAAAACTCAAGAGCTTGTAGAAGCAACGGCCGAGAAGTCACCGATGCAGACTAGAAAACATGGGCGGCCAGAATGTGCGAGGCAAATCGTCTTCCCGTAGAAGAAAAATGCCGATAAGAGTCAGTACAAACTTTATGACCACGAAAGTCGGCCGAACCCAGGCGGATTCATTGGAAAGCTAAACCGATCGGATTCCAAAAAACCTGCTAGAGACACAGCTTCACATGTTCTTTGCCAACGAAAAACACACCAACGGAAGAGGGATAAGGCGGGAAGAACATTATTCCTATTGTATGATACGTTCGGATCTGATGTCGAGCATGCTAACGTACAAAACCATGCACCGATGTCCTCCTCTCCGACAATCCAGCCAGGCCGGACCGCCATGAAAATCTCTATGTTGGATCCCTCCGGCCGCCTCCAGCTTCACCAACGCCGCCACCACGCACCACCTATCGAAGGCCTTCACTCAATCACACATCTCCGCCACCGTCTTACAACAACCCTTCAGTGACTTTGCCGCAGGGCCCCTCGACCGGGACCTCCCAGCCGGTGTTGACGCCATGCGGGCCTTGCCTGACGACACGCCCGGAGGCGACGAGTGGGGTAAAGGACCCGTGGTGGCTAGGGTTAGCAAGTCGTGGTTGGTAGCCAAACAAACAAGTCATCTGGAAAACATTTCCACCAACGTGGTTCCTGGACCACCCTCTCCCACGGCGCCCCTCCTTCACGCCAAACACGCAGCACATACACACCGCAATGCTAAACCGGACAAGACATGCCATGTGACGATGTGAAGAGATTCATTCAACGCCTTGTATTCCTCGCTGATCTCATAATTGTGAAATAAAATGTGAAAAAGGTCATGGGGGCAGTACAACATCCATTCTCGATAGCAAGCATGAATTAATTTTGAGCTTTCTTTGGTTGCATTTTTTAAAAATCTGGCAGCCACGCTTCGCGACAGAAAAGCAATAATGATCCCCGATATATAAAAGAAAGAGAAAAATAATACTAAGCAGGAATTAATGGGCACATGCAGTTCGGTGCGTGATTGCCCATACGCGTGTCCTCTTGTTTTGAGCTTTCTTTTTCGGCAAGACAGCAGCACGATCCATCTATTAATTTGGCGCGATGGTCGCCGAAAACGAGTACTCCCTCCGTCCGCCAAAGAGCGTACGTCTGGCTTTTGATTTTTTGCCAAAATAAGTGTACA